GAGTACGCACTCCCGGTTTCGGCTAGAAACTCGGAACCCCGGGTGGACTCCACCCTAATTCCTTCTGGCAGTCGAGCCCGTTCGCGGGTCCAGGAGGCCGCTTCGCCTCGATTTGAGAGCTGCTACTTCTCTCTACATCTCCTTTCCCGTGGTCTATATGGCGGAGAGGAGACGGGGCCGCTCCAGAAACGCCTGAGGCACGGCGTCTCCAATGCCGAGGAGAGCCTTATCCTCTCCGTAGATCAAGCGCTCGTAACCATCCGTATCCTCCGGGGAGGGGGAAGAGGCTGAGAGAAGGGGGGGAGGGGCCGCTCCTGCCGCTTCCTCCTCCTCTTGCTTTGGGATCGATCCCGTCGTCTCACCAGAAAGGGGTACCCCGCCAGAGAGAAAGAAAGGAAGAAAAGGAGGGGTGGCAGGCGCGCGTCCTGAAGCCCACCCTCCTCAGCTCCCATCCCGGAATCTCTGCTGCCTCCATCGGGACAACAACCTCTCCTCCGCCTCCTTGTTCCTGCACAACAAGATGTGAAGCGGAGACTCCTGGGACTTAGCTTCATCCTCCTCCTCCTCCTTACGGCTCCCTTTTCTGCAGCCATTAGTGATTAGCAAGAACGGCGCAGGGGGAGTTGGGGACCCTCGGTACGTTCCGTCTGTGATCCCCTTCCCCAGCCCCTTGTTCACCAGTATAGGCATTTTCCTCCGTTGCAGGCTGGTTTTGGAAGGAGTAGGAAAGAACTGCGAGCAGAGAAAAACGATTCTTTCTCTCTTCGCCTCTCCTCCTTCGCCCGCCTCCTTGTGGCGATGAGGAGGAGGAGGACGACGCCGAGGAGGAAGAGGTTGATGGCGGCGAAGAGGCAGCAGCAGGAGGAAAAGACGACGACCCCCCGGAGGATGAAGATGGTGGTATCGGCGGCGACGGCGGCGAGGAACCACCAATTGTTCTACGGCCGGATTTAATTCGATTTGTAAATTTATCAAGCCCTTTTAATTGATTATAGGAAGGGTTTGTTCTGTTGTTTTCATCCTTGTTTTTCCCTGTGGCCCGGAGAAAAGACTGCTTCCACACCCTGTTTCCCATCTCTGTTCCCCCTTACTCACTGCTATCCAACAGAAATCGATCTCGAGGAGCAGAAAAAGAGGAACTTTGTCTATTTCTTCTTCAGTCCATTTCCATACTGCTGTTCAGTTGATTTTGGATCAAAGAAAACGGCTGAGGGCATTGGGGATCCCCATCTTTAATTTGGGCTCTGTTTGTCTAAAAAGAATTAAAAATGGCCGAGAATGTGGTGGAGTCGGGCCCGCCTTCAGCCAAGAGGCCTAAACTCTCTTCACCGGCGCTCTCTGTCTCTGCAAGCGATGGCACAGGTCAGTCTTGGGCATAGATCCCTTAATTTTACCTTACCACAAATGGGCTCTCTTTTTTTTGCTAGTCTTTTTTGCTAGTCTGTTACATTTCTTTCCTCTGTCTATGTACTTGTTTTTAGTTTACATTTTGCAATATTGCTTTGGATATTTAATTGACATTAATTTTTATTTCTTTGAAGAGGTTGAAAATGTGTTGATGTTTACCTCTGAGTGCTGGCAGCACTTGAAATCTTGTAAAAAAGTGATAATTATTGCACAGTTATTATCTATGTGTTGATGTAGATTTTTTTCTTCCAATCTTAAACTCATTTAATCTGAAGAGTCCTTATTTTTCATCTTGGCAATGTTCTGATGGCTAAGTTTTGATTTCCTGTATTTCCACCAATTATTTACTACTAATATTGTTTGATAAAGGGGTAATTACAGCTGCTGGTAGAATTCATGTTGATGCTTTTGTTAAGACAGCTTCACTAGACCAACACTGAAAAACAGTACAGACTTTCTTTATCTGTATTTTTATGTGTCATCTGCTTTTGTTCAGAGACCAAAATGTCTGAATTTCTCATGAAGTCATGCCTGATTTGTAAAGATGAGTACAGCAACACTTGTTTGTTTATTTATTGAACAAATCAGCTGGATAGAAATGCTACAACTCCTTTGAAATTAGCAATGCATGTTACAGGTGTTCATTTAGTAACAACTGTTTACAGGTTCTCTTAGAAGTTCAGGGAACTATACCCCTGTAAAGAACAAATTGGCTGCAAGAGAAAAATTGTGTTGTTTTCCTGAGATTTCTGAGTAGTATATGATTACTCTATGCAATAGTTGTTTTAACTCATTTTATCAGAAGAGATTATCTGGAATCCTTCAGTCAAAAATCTAGACATTCTGATTATTAACGGTAACCAGACTTGTTCATTGAATTTGTTTTGTACTGGATATATAAATGCAGGGGAAAATGGCTGATTGTGTTTGATAGATAGGCTATGTATATGTATTTTTTGTTTGAATACTGGTTGGATACAGTAGATAATTTGGAATGATTCTTGTGTTTAGTATTCACTTCCGAACAATGTTTCTATTTGAATCTGCAGTCTATATTGATATCTCCAACAACTTTAGGGATTTTTAGGTTGTTTGCTACCAAGAGCATTAGTTCCACTATTTGTCAGGCCTAGTATAACACTTACCTGAAAATCAACAAGTTCCATTTTGCTAGTAGGAAAGCAGAGTTGCCTTCAGAATTCTTTGTGGAAGTATATAAAACAAATACTATAAAATAATACTTTTTCAGAGTTATGCTATAGAATAATACTTATTAAGGTTGTATTCCTTTCCTATGCAGACAAAATTGAAAATATGCATCCTGGGTTTTGTTTTGGTTTTTTTGGTTGCAAGCCTCTGCACACTTTTCTGGGACTATATTTCATTGAATGAATTCATAGACAGTCATATGAGTGTATTGTGAATCAGTACAAGCCCATGCGTGTTTATTCAGATATAAATCTTATTGGATTCAATGGGATTTTTTCAATGAATGCTTCTTTTGCCAATGAGAATGGTACATTTTGTTTGATTCTCCTCCAAAAGCCATAGTTTTTGTCTTTCTATGTTAGTAATAAGCGATTGCATCTTTGTATTTCCAATGCGTTTTAGAAATACAGAAGATCAAATTAAGTTTGTTGTATTGACTGTTTAGTTTGTTACCATCATTCCCAATAGTTGCTAAAAGCTTCTAGCTTTGCATTAATCATTACTAATACAAATTTTATTCTTGTTGGTTGAATCCTCTTTGAAATAATAGTCAGTTGGAGATGTTGAAATGTAATAAGCTTAAATATTAAGTACTTTCAACATATTGCAACTAATGAATCTCCAGTTGTGCTTTGTTTTAATATTCAGTTTTCTGAAGGTGTGAAGATAACTGTGATTTAGTGTGTTCAGATAAAGCTATGCAGAAAAATGTTAACATATGTAAGAGTACTAAACCTCATATTTGCAACAAATTACTAACTTCTTTCCCATAATGCTGCGTCACAGTGCTGCATCTTTTTTCTAGCTATTATAAGCATAGATTCATTTTTCTGTTTTTTTTTTGCTTACTCTAATGCTCTAGAATATGCACAGGTGTAAATGCTAAATTTATTTGGGAGCTATGGGAAAAGAGCCAGGCATCCATATCTATTGACAAATTGGAAATACAACTAAGTTATGTAATTACCAGAAAAATAAGAAAGTTTAATTGATATAATTCTGTCTTTATCCCCAAAAGCAGCTTTATTCCTTAGAATTTCTACATAAATTTGTCCACTAATACAGTTCTCCCTGAAATATTTTGCCACAGTTGTCAAGAATACCTTATATACTGAGCATTTTTCATATAGGATTTTAATATTTTATTTTTTGAATATAACCAAGTCTATTCCTATATGAACTAAAGGGGAGGCAAAAAATCAGAATACTTAATATAAGCATGAAGTGAATGAAATAACACAGCCGTTGAGGTAGCATTTTGTGCTTATAACCCTTCTCACAATATTTTGAATCTTTTTTTCACATAGATTTTTGACAAAATTCATCTTAGAATGCATTGCATTTTAGTTGTATTTCTGCAGTTAAGATATGTAAGTCCTATATCTGCTAATAAAACTGCAGCTGCTCTTCAGCTTAATGATACTATGTGTACAAACTTTTTTTTCTTTCCAAAAATGAATTGTTTCTGTCATCTTGCCTACTTTGTGACTACTGAAAGATCTGTAAATATGTGTAGTATACGTCCTAAACAGCTTAGCGGGTACAACTATTTGGACTCAATAAGTCAGGTCTAGGGATGCTGAAAGGAATATTTGATTGTCTCCTTCATACATCAAGCATGTGTTTTAAAGTCATTGCAGTTTTGAATAGGTTTTGAGTTTGTATGGGAATCTTGAAATCCCTGTCATTTTGACAGAAAATTTATTCCAAATGTCTGAAGAATTATAACACTATATTTGATACTTTTATGTATCTGTGCAACTGAAGTAGACTTTCTGTGAAAAATAAGACTATTACATTAATAGTTTATTTCAGTGTTTGGATAGAATATAGGCATTTATCTAGTTGGTTAGTAATCCAAAATAATTATGTAAGTGAGTGGAGCTTACCAGCTTTTGGTGTATATTCTATATTGGCATTTTCTTTAAAGCCAGAACTCCTTCAGAAAAGGGTAGTTGAAGAGAGTAACTCTTATAATGTTCTTTGTTTCTGGCTTTGTCATTTCATGGCAGGAGTAATTATCACTTGCCTAGTATTCAGGAACACTAAGGAAGTGGAGCAGGTGTTTTTGCTCTTATATACTACAGGATCCTGTGGATCTCAGATCCCAGAGGGAGCTCTGGCAGAGCAGCATGCCATTTCAATTTCCATCTGTATTATATGTGACTGTCCTTGGCTCTTCAAGGAGCCCTAAGGTAAACTTCTGAGGGAGTGTAGAATGCACAGCCTCTTGGTTCTTCTTTCCTTAAGCAAAATCTCTGAAATTAGCTATTAAGATTAGATAAGAGATTTGTTCAAATTCTCACTTAAAGCAATTATTACTTATAGCAGCTATGCCATCTACTGTAATTGTACTTTGAGCAAGTTTCAATCAGTGATGATAGGCCAGTGCTACTAAACATCATACAGTAGTTGCTTGCTTTTTTGAAATCTGTACCACAAAATGTTTTCTCTATTAACAAATATCAATAGCTTTTGATACCTTCTGATTTTTAAAATAAAAACTGCTTATTTACTGAAAGGTATGTTTATTTTCTAAAAGATCATTAAATGAACTTTGTCTTGTACATCAGAATTTAATTGCCAATTTTTGTCTACTTACAAACTGAGTTTAAAAAGTTATTTTTGAAGTTGATATATAATAACTACTTTAATATTTGTAGTTAAGTTACATGACTTACTTTTTAGAATTGGAAAAGTGAAAAATAGAAGTAGTTCTGAAAAGTATGCAGTCCCGTATGTATGCATGGTATCTCTGGATACCAGCCAGTGTGATGTAATTGTTAATATTATTAGTGTTAGATCCAGAGGTGCACTCTGCAAAATTCTGAATTGAATAATCAATGAATAAAGGAGGGGAAGATGATGTTGATTCACCTTTCTATTATGTAGCTGCTTGTACTCCCCAAAATTTGCTCTGTGTAATTAATGACCCTCCAAAACTGAATGAGGAGGTAGCAGTAAAAATTGATTCCCTGCCTTCTTTCTCCAAGAGGAAGGTATGTTGAATTTCTGTATCCTTCAACAATACAGAGTACATGTTGGTACACCTCTGGAACCATCCTTAAGTTAGTAGGGTGATGAAGGCATTACTTCCAAGTAAATAAGATTATTGTACTTCGTTGGCGTGTTGTATGATTGATTAAACCAAAAGAGAAGAACATCTCTAGATCGGTTGTTTTCAAACAGTCAAATTCAGCTCCTGTTTAAGGGGTAAATCATAAAATTAGAGTGAAAACTATGTAACTTATTAGTGTTTATGCTCTTTATCATTAATATTTGAATCATATCTTGAGGATCATAGGAATATTTTCTTCAAATAAGTTGAAAATCATTCATGTATTTTTCTTCAGTGTATAAAGTCCAGCCATGCGGTGCCATGGATATTTAAAAAAAAAAATTATATATAAATAATGTGGTAAAGAACATCACTTTTCTGTAGGAATAGTTCTTTTTTGCCAGACTGTTCTATCAGCTGCCCTGGGAATACTTTAGTTTGAAAAGTGGCATGCATATTCTGATTTAAAAACAACAATCACCAACATTGAAAATCCTGAACATTTTGCTAAAACCCACTGTTTTTGTCTGATCTGCTTTGTCACTACAAGAAGCTGCTACACTTCTTTGCAAATGTTACCTTTTCAGAGCAACTGTTGAGGTATATTAACAAACGTAAAAGCTATTTGAAGTAGTATGGTAAGCTATTAAATTTGTTTGGTAGGAGAAATTGTGCCTCTTGGAGCAATATTTGATTAAAAAAAAATTTTTTTTTAAAGATAAAGTCAACCTAGAATTTGCCACAATCCCTAAACTAATTTTAAGAGAACCCTAACTAAAATTTGTGGGCATTGGTAGTCTTCCTTTAGATTTCACTTTCGGCAGCTCTTAAAGCTGTCTTAGTGGGGGGGAGGAGATTCTGGAATTTAGGAAAGCTATTAAAGCAGTTCATGATTCCATTGCAGGAAGCTTCTGAAAGACAAATACTTGGAAACCAAAGCACCTGGCTCAGTTTTGTATTTCCTTTAAGATCTTTACCTATTGAATATCTTGGAATAAAGGCTGTAGCATTAGAAATGCTCATCCTTCTAGCATATTATATCTGGGCTATAAATATGTTCATTAAATTCACACTGAATAAATTTGGCAATAGAACCAAAATCGGATTGCTGTTGATTTTACCTGTTTGATCATTCAGAAACATGGAATGAGTAGCTCTCATGTTTCTACATCCTTCAATTATTTAATTTTTAAACTTGTAAATTTTGAGGTCAGTTTCAGGCAAAATAAAAAGAACAATTTCTTGTCTATTCAGTTTTAACCTGGTAATGCTTTCTGACTAGATGTGATGGATCATGTTAGCTGGCAAGTTATAGAACTAATGATCAGGCAAGTAAAGAGTGGAATTGTTGAATTGTGTTTAATGTCATGTGTTTCCTAGTAATGTGTGGCTGAAACAATGGTGGATAGGCATATGCACTGGTTTGCTGCTTTTAGTTTTAAGCATTGGGGTTTGTAGCAATTGTAGGATGTCACATTTAGCATTTGAGATATGTTTAAAAGCTTTATAAACTTGGAACCAATATGAGTTAATTGATACTGTTGCAGAGCCAAACTGGGTATATTAAAAATCATGTCATTTAACTTGATTTGAGAGGGTTGTTGAGGTGAAACAGTGACTTTTTGTTTAAAAAATATTTTTGGTATAAAGCAAATTAGATAAATAGCTGTTCTATCAGGACTGAAAATTAACTTCATTCATCTGAAATGTTTGTTCAAGTGCTCTAAATCACTTTTTTGCTTTTTCTCTCCAGATTTTGGATCTCTTTTTGATTTGGAGCATGACTTACCAGATGAACTTATCAGCTCTACAGAACTGGGACTTACCAATGGTGGTGACATTAATCAACTGCAGACCAGCCTTGGTATGGCACAAGATGCTGCTTCTAAACACAAACAGTTGTCAGAACTGCTACGAGCTGGTAGCTCACCAAACCTTAATATGGGAGTTGGTGGGCCAGCCCAGAGTATGGCCAGTCAGCCACAACAGAACAATCCTGGAATGGGAATTTTAAACAGTATGGTCAAAAGTCCCATGGCACAGGCTGCACTGACATCTCCAAATTTGGGGATGGGTACAAGTGGGCCAAACCAAGGTCCATCAACTCAGTCCACTACAGGAATGATGCCAACAGTAAATAGTCCAGTAAATCAGCCCGGAATGGGAATGAATGCAGGAATAAATGCTGGCATGAATCCTGGTATGTTGTCTGCAGGAAATGGGCAAGGAATGATGCAAGGGCAAGTTATGAACGGTTCAATTGGAGCTGGAAGAGGACGTTCCAATATGTCATATCCAAACCCAGGAATGGGAAATGCTGGTACTCTGATTGCAGAGACATTGCAGCAAGGTTCTCCTCAAATGGGAGGACAGGCAAGCCTGAGAGGTCCGCAGCCTGGAGCAATGAACAAGGTAAGTCAAAGATTTTATTATGAACGCTGACAATGAAAAATACAGTTTCAAAATACCATCCTTTAGAGATGTTTCTAGATATCTTGCCAGAAGCCTTCAGCATATTTGTGGATGAAGCATATAATATGTAAGCTTATCAATG